TTTTTTTTTTTTTTTTTTTTTTTGGTCTGTGTTTTTTAAGTTTTTACCAATCACTCACCACGAAGTTTAAGAAACTGTAATTTTATTGAGAATGTGGTTATAGAAAAGAAAAATTCAAAACAGAATAGCATAGTAGCACAATACTATAAACTTCAATATTACAACATAAATATTAAGCGAAAGCAACGTTCACTAATTGGTATTCAAGAGAGTATCACTTCTAAAAATATTATTTATTCAAATATTTGTTTTTATTTTATTCACATAACTGATAACTTTATTTTATGTTTTTAAACTCAGGAGATTCTTTATACATTAGAGATTACACAAAAGTTCAATTTATAAATTGATTTCAATAAATATCTACTTGATAGGTAAATTCGAAAGAAGACAAAATTATAAATGATTATTATCAAGAAAACTAACTCGAGGTCACTGATTATTGATACTAATTAATAAGAAAACTTTATTTTATCAAATAAACTTTTTGAAATATATCTTTGGACAAATCATTAATCTTTATGAAGTATGTGTGGGTGCAAAAGTTGTGTATTGAGAATTTTAGTATAGAAATTTAAAATTCAGAATATAAATTTCAAAGTTAGAACATCAAAATAAGTTTTCACTAAATTTGGTCTCCCATGAGTGAGAATTTAATCTCACTTCAACTCGATCTTCTCTCACAATATATTTTGGTTTTCAAATGAATTTTTGATTTTATTCATATAGTTTTTAAGTTTTAGGTCTTAGATGTTCTTATTACATAGAAATAACAAGTGAAAATTAATTGTGAAATGATTCTGATCAAAATACTTACTAGGTAGAGTCGAAAGAAGTCAAATTATAAATGATTATCATCAAGAAAATTTACATGGTATAATGGTTTGAATCCTTCAAGATACTAATGTTAGATTTTGATTAATTTTATGTCCCACATCGGATGTGTACCAAAGATGTGTAGGATCTTTTTAGTATAAATAGATCCCTTGCCTTTGGGTTACAATTGCACCTTATTCTATTATCTCCTATTTAGAAGGAAATCCTTAATTAAGGAAATCCTATTTTGTGGGTTATTTAACCCTAGTTGTATTTTGTTGGTGAGTTTAGTAAATTTGGCGTTGCGGTTGGCGGTGCCCAGAGACGTAGGCTATTTTCGTCGAACTCTGTTATCAATTTCTGTGTTCTTTTTATTTGATACCCCAACAAGTGGTATCAGAGCCGAAGGTTTGTCCCAGGCTCATTCGGAGAGGCAAGCACTGCATTCGAGTTCGAGATGTCCAAGGAGGTCAAGGGCGCATCATCCTCTGCATTCATTCCGGCAAGGACGGTGATGCCGAACGTCAGACTCCCGGTGGAGATTTTCGACAGGACCGGTCATTTCGGCATGTGGCAAGGCGAGGTGCTGGATTGTCTATTTCAGCAAGGCGTCGACATTGCAATTGAAAAGGAGAAGCCAACAGACGTTGAAGAGAAGGACTGGAAGAATATCAACCACTTAGCATGTGGAACAATTCTTTCGTGTTTGTCGAGGGAGCAGAAGTACGCGTTCAAGAATGAGAACTCTGCTCACACTTTGTGGAAGGCTTTGAAGGATAAATTTCTGAAGAAAAGCGGCCAGAATAAGCTCCTCGTGAAGAAGCGATTGTTCCGATTCGAGTACCGGCATGGCACGTCGATGAATGATCACGTCACTGCATTCAGTCGGTTAGTTGCAGATTTGTTGAACTTGGATGTCACATTCAGCGATGAAGATTTGGCTCTTATGTTGTTATCATCACTTCCAGATGACTTCGAGCACTTAGAGACTACTCTGCTCCATGGGAAGGACGATGTAACTCTTGCAGTGGTCAGTTATGCTCTGTATAGCTATGAGTTGAGAAAGAAGAACAAACAAGAGACGAAGAATGCATCAGCAGAAGATGAAGCGTTGCTTGCAAGAGGTCGATCGAAGAACCAAAAGAAGAATGGACGAGGAAGATCACGTTCCAAAGCCAAGCTTGAAAAAGACGAGTGTGCTTTCTGCCATGAGAAGGGACACTGGAAGAAAGACTGTCCTAAGTTGAAGAAGAATGGAAAATCTCCTCAAGATGCATATGTTGCTGAGGGTGGAAGTGAAGACTCAGAATTTTCACTTGTGGTTTCACCTTCATCATCTCATCTAGACGAATGGATTTTGGATTCACGATGCACCTACCATATGTCTCCCATAAGGGAGTGGTTCTTCAATTTTCAGGAGATCAACGGAGGGGTTGTCTATATGGGTAATGATAATGCTTGTAAGACAATTGGAATAGGTTCAATCCGTTTGAAGAATCGCGATGGTTCCACCAGAGTTTTGGCGGATGTTCGGTACGTGCCGAGTTTGAAGAAAAACCTCATCTCATTAGGAGCCTTGGAATCCAAAGGCTTGGTAGTGACTTTGCGAGATGGAGTTATGAAGGCTACATCCGGCTCGCTCGTGGTGATGAAAGGCATCAGGAGGAATAATTTGTATTACAATGAAGGTGATACAATTGTTGGGACAGCAACAGTAGAAGATTCCACCAACAAGGAGTCTGAAGCAGTCAAGTTGTGGCATATGCGTTTGGGACATGCTGGTGAAAAGTCCTTGCAAACATTGGCAAAACAAGGACTGTTGAAAGATGTCAAAGTATGCAAACTAGACTTTTGTGAGCACTGTGTTTTGGGAAAGCAGAAGAGAATGAAGTCTGGAACGGCTATCCATAATACCAAAGGTGTCTTGGATTATGTTCATTCGGATGTGTGGGGACCTTCTAAGACCCCATCATTAGGCGGAAGACGCTATTTTGTCACTTTCATCGATGACTTTTCCAGACGTGTTTGGGTGTACACTATGAAGACAAATGATGAAGTGCTTGGTGTCTTCATTACATGGAAGACACAAATTGAGAACCAGACTGGAAGGAAGATCAAGGTCCTACGAACGGACAATGGTGGAGAATATACAAGTGATCCCTTTCAAGAAGTTTGCTGTAAAAATGGCATTGTTAGGCACTTCACCGTTAGACGGTCACCACAACAAAATGGGTGGCGGAGCGCATGAATCGAATATTGGTGGAGAAAGTTCGATGTATGTTGTCTAATGCTGGTTTGGACAAGGAGTACTGGGCTGAGGCTGTAACATATGCGCAACACCTCATAAATCATTTGCCGTCATCTGCAAAAGATGGTAAAACACCGTTGGAGGTATGGTCGGGAAAACCTGTTGCTGGCTATGGATCTTTACATGTCTTTGGGTGTCCTACGTTCTATCATGTGAAGGATTCAAAGTTAGATCCAAGAGCGAAAAAGGCTTTGTTCATGGGAATCACAATTGGCGTGAAGGGATATTGTCTTTTGTGTCTTGAGACGAACAAAACTGTGTTTAGCAGGGATGTTACATTTGATGAACAAAGTATGATAAATACGACGCAAACCCAACAGGTGGAGTTGACACCGAAGCAGGTGGAGATAGATGCGATGACGAGATAACCAGCTATGATCAACGAAACAATATCAAACGATTCGTCGGATGATGAAGTTCAGACTCACGAATCATTAGATTTACCCATTGCATTGAGAAAGCCCAGACGAGAGATTCAACAACCTGCTCGATTGGCGGATATGGTGGCTTATGCACTTCTAATTGTTGATGATGACATACCTTTCACTTTTCAAGATGCAATTCAAAGTTTAGAAAATAAGAAGTGGAAATGGGCTATGGAGGAAGAAATGTTGTCTCTCCAGAAGAATCAAACTTGGAAGGTGACACAACTACCAAAAGGCAAGAGGGCGATAGGATGCAAGTGGGTATTTGCAAAGAAAGATGGTGTTGTAAATATTTTCCGGAGTTAAATCAAAAGATTCGACACCGGGTCGTGTCTCTCGAGGAAGGTTAGCCGGAATGAATTGCACGTTTATT